TCTGAAAGTGTTTTTAAGCGATATACTCAGGGGCAGACTCGCATTAGGAAAGGTGGGGGAAAAGGGCCCTCCACTAAAACGTCAGAATTTTAAAATAATATAGGTAACTGTTATGGCCTTAAGTTTCCTACTGTTATTGTTCGACGGTTATCCCAAGTGATCCAGTTCGTTTTGACGAAAACCCTCACTCCCTCGCTTAACGATCGTTATCTTTGTATATTGTTACCGCTAATTTTTGCAATCATGCTACGATGATAATGTTAGTTGATGATTTTGTTAAATATATCTCAAAAAAAAATGTGGTTCTTTTAGTTTAAATATAAATAAATTCACGTAATGTTAATTTTATATATGCTCAAATCAATTCATTTGGAAGGAAATTATACAAGTTAACTAACAGTATAATTACTAATCAGTTTCATAGATATGGTAAAAAAAATCGAAATCAAAATTTACCTTATTTGGTTAAATGGTGGGACCAATAGGGAAATCCCAATTCATTGGGTTTTTTTTTTTTGATTAACTTGGATATCCAACCCGTTATGCGAGCTGATTAATTCCAGGACAACTACCTGCTTTGCAGATAGCTCGGAGCCATCGCATTTGAACCTCTATGACCACAATGGAATTTTTATTCCTCAATTCATTGGGTCTTTTGCTACAATCAAATAGAAATCCCCAAGTGCACCATATCCTAGAAGCCCAAACTATGTGATTGAATAAATCCTTCGACCATAGAACCTCGTTCAATACGTGGACCACATTTCTTTATTTGGTGTACCTACTTGAGCCGGATGAAAGGAATCAATCAGCCAAAATGGTTTCTATTAGTGTAAATCTACTCACCTCAAAAATTCTTTCACAAAATATAAATATTGTTAAGAGACCTCTGGTGTGAAAAAAAAAGTTTGTGATTACTGAACTGAAAGACTTTTTTTTTTTTGCAATTAAGCAGTTCCTTGAAATCTTGTTGGAACTGTCCATATCTGGTTCATCCTTCGGAATGAACAAGAAGCTTCGAGAAAACTGGTGTTTTCTGAAACAGGATCTATAACTGCCTCAAAAGGTCCAATATATAAAAAAATCTGAGAAAATATCACACGAATATTCTACCATAATGGGTATTCAGTTGACTGGGTAGCTGACTCCTGTTAGTCCGTTTTAGAAGGTATTGTTAAAAGATCATCGCGATCTATCTAGCCCTAAATAGCTTTGGAATTTCTCTGCACTTGGCTACCCAACGTTTACCGTGGGGGGAGTTATTTTCTATCGTTGGCCTCTATGGTAGAATCAGTCAGGGGACCAGAGAGGCGGTAAATCCCTCCCAATTCACATCTTTGTTGAAAGATTTTTTTTTTGTAAATCCCGCGCCAATGAGGCTTTTATTTGAGAGAAAAAGAAATAAAAAAATGGATTTACTTCGGTTTGGTATTTTGGCCCACATATCTTTCCAGCTAAGGAAAGGGAAATCCGCTAGAAAATGCATTTCTAATCAGAGATTTCCCTATGAAAAAGACGAATCGGGCGAATACGATCCAAGTAATAAAAGCCCAAGTTTTCTCTGGATCCCAAACCAGATAACCCGAAACCGTTTTGATTTAGATGAGTTATTCGATTTCGGATTCTTTTATATCCTTAGATCCTCCAGGTCGTCTAAATTTCTAGATCTGTCACTGAATATATTTATACAGATTTTTATTGTATTTAAAAGAAAACTTGTTGGTTTTGTGTGTTATGCCAAACCATGCCCAAATGGTCTTAATGCCTTTCTTGGTCCAAGCCATGGTGGAGTTGCCTTTTCAACTAGTAGTGTCACATTTTTTGCTTTCATGATAGAAAGTGGAAGTGCACAAGGGCCATGCCAACTAGTTGTTAAATTCTTTCGGTTAGATTAAAACCCTGTTCGGTTGGTTTTTCATCAAGGGGCTGTTTATTAGAATTTCAGTTAAATTTTGTATGGATAAATTTGTTTGCCTGAATAAAAATTTATTGTTGTTTACTTTTTTTTTACTGAATCAGCTGTTTGAATGATAGAAATGATCGTTTTACTCATCGGTTCATCAGATAAACTTTAATACAAACAGATAAACAAGGAAAACTTGCGGGAACCTATAAGGAGAAGTATGTACTTGTGGGAATCAATGAACAATGGGAACCATAAAAGAAACCGTATGGAAATCCACCAAACCATGTTATTAGTTGAATAAGATATCAAGTTCAAATCTCAAAAAACCGAGCTCAAATCTCTAAATCCAACGATATATAAAAAAAACCCAAGTGCAAAGTTGAGAGAAGAAGGTTTCGATTAGGTTTGGGGAAAGATGAACAAAGAACAGAAATGTAAAGAGGGTTTCAATTAGAAGAAATAATCGGAAATCGAACTTCTAGAAAATCAATAACGAACTTCAAAAATGGAACTGAACTTCAGAAACTTCAAACGAGATCTGGAACTTCAGAAACGAAATCGAACTTCACGAAAATCAAAATCGAGCTTCAGAAACTTCAAAATGAAATCAAACTTCAAACGAAATCGAAATGAGGCGTGTCTTGATTATAGGGTTTTGAATCTGGAAGGAATCTGGTTTTGAATCTAGAAGGAAGGAGGCGAGTTTTTTGTCCACTGAGTTTTTTTTGTTGAGTGGGGACAATATAATAAAACCAACTATGCAATTAATTCACCTGCTATGTGAATAAGCCGTAAGTAAACAACTTAAAAGAGTTGTGCGAATAAGGCAGCAGAACATTAAGCTCTATTAAGTTGCAAGTAAACACCTCCTAAGTCCTGTATGGATTAATCTCTTTATATAGATTGAGAAGATTTTTGTTTAGGATGTTTTTTTTAATATTTGGAAGGAACGTGTTTTCTAATTGAGAGATACATGATTGGAAAAAAAAAACTCGACTTTCTACATAAAGATTTCCGTCAGAAACTTACTGAATAAGTCATTTTCTACATCATTATGTCACTGACAAACATACCCTGAGTTATTTAAGATCAAAACGTTTTATGTCAGGTATTTGCATAATATTTGAAGTCTTTAATTCTCTTAAAAGAGAATCAATATTTTGAATCATAGTCTTTATTTTTACTGTTTTACATTAATGTGGAGAGATATTTGTCTAATAATCTAGAAAGTGGTTTTTAAGATTATTTATCATCACAAATTCAATGATTTTAATATTTTATATATGAAATTATCAGTATTTTTTTTATTATGAGTTGTTTGACAGTTGCTGAATAGTTTGGTGCAGAATGATTAAGTATGAGAATGATTAAGAGACTTTCATTATATAGTGCAAAATAAAATATAAACCCCAAAGTGATCCACATGAACATGAATGTTTGGCGGGGGAAGGGGAATGAAAATTCATTCCCATTTTTATTTACTGTCATTTTCATTTTAAAAATTACAATATAAATTATATTATTAAAATATTTAATATTTTTTTATAAAATATTATTTCTTTATTCTATATATTTAGTTTTGGAATTTTCATTAATGGAAGAATAAAAAATAATTTATCTTTCATAGGTGGAACTGAAAGAGTCTCAAAATCTTAGACTTAATTTGTTTTTAAGATACTCTTGGAACACTTCCAACAAATTCTCAAAAAATTTATTTAAAATGGAAAATAAAACTTTAAATTTTTAAAACAAAAATACATTCAACTCTCGTAGACTCTATTTTTTCAAAAATACAATATCAATTATATAATTAAAATATTTAATTCATCTAATAAAATATTTCATTTCAAAGTTTTATATTGGTGAAAATATATTAAAAAAGATTCTTCTCGTTGTAATCATTTTTGGAGTATTCTCCAAATTTGGAGATTTTTCTCCAACAACTTCTCTAAAATAGAAAAAAATGGGTTTTCGTTCTTAAAATGCTCCAACAACTTTGCTATATTGTTCCCAAAAAAATAGAGATTTATGGAGAAAACTCTGAATAAAAAGAATTCTCTAGAACTTGATGGTAAGAGAGAGAAATGATTATTTTATTCAGTTCCACCAATGAGATTGTGTTATTAATTTTTATAATTAAAAAAAAGTATTTGGATGATATATTAAAGAATACTAGAAGGGTACTCGTGTAATGCAACGAGATATATCTCGATTTTAATGTTTCATTTTATTCATTTTCTCTATCGATATAATACGGTTTTACGTGGTTTTAGAAAATGATAATTTTTTTTTTATTTTGAACGAAAAATAAATTTGGAAAAAAAAATGTATCAATATTAATATTAAATTAACTATTTAAAATTTCTCATTTTTTATATAATTTTTTCAATTCAATTTTTTATTTTAGATTTAATAATAAAGTAATTTATTTTTATTTGATACTATAATTTTTATAAGGATAATAATTAGGTATTATATTAAAATTCAATGATTATCTTAATTATATTTTAGTTTTTTATATTTAAAATGAGATGTTTATCCTGTATTTGATTATGTTTATCTGCAGTTAGTTACATGAATTAAAAAAAAATAAAGCTTTAATAAATTATATTTATGCATAATTTACTTATAATATTGAATTTTAAGTAATATGCATTAATATACAATATTTAATGCATAAAACATTGTTTTTAAATTTTTTATCAAATGTTTTATAATATAATATAATATTATAATAAATGTAATTTATGCTAAAATCTCTTAAAATAAAGAATCCATTGAAAATGAATGTAACTAATTTTAGAAAATTTATATTTTAATTCTCTATTTTAAAAAAATTATAATTTTTTCACTATAATTCTTATTTTGATCGAAACCTAACTCCCTTTTCACAAACCGTATTATGGAATTACAAAAAAGGAAACAAGGTCACATTTTATATTCTAGAATAAAAAAATGCAAATAAAAATATTTAAATTCAATATAATATAATATAATATAATATATATATATATATATATATATATATTCACAAAAAACCATAATTTATACAAAAAAAAATGTTATCATGTAGTTTGATTTGAACTACAAACTGCCAAATCTATAAATACCCAAAAAATTCCTTTTTAAATGAAAATAACATCGAGCTTTCTTGAAAAGTCTTTTTTGTTTTTGTTTTTGTTTTTTTTTTCATTTTTTTTTGTTTTTGAAATGAATTATTTTAATCTCCTATTGTGCCCCTCGGTTAATCATGTCCATATATCGCTGTAGCGATTCTTGCCTCTGTAACCTCATCTCATCGTTAAACTTCTTAATGAACGCTTCCACTCGCCGATTCAACTCGTCGTGACTCAGCGATCCTTCTTTCCTCAGCTTCCCGCCAGATGACGTCATTGAGTTTTTCGATGACAGGATACGTTGGTGGTTCTCGTTGTCGTAGGCCGTACGGTCATTGAACGTTTCTGCTTTGTTCATCACGTTATTATCTGCCGCCGCGAACGCCGGTCCATGTTCGCCGGAGTAACCGTCCAAGGAAGGTGTGTGGTGGTGGTGATGATGGTTGTTCTCGAAGACGTCCGATTTCCGGAGGTGTCTATTTAGCGGTATATGACGGCCGTCGGTGATCGTCTTCCATGTGTTCTCCAATGTCTCATGCTTCCTCGACTTCGCTACTCTTAGTGATCTCACACCTGTGGAATACGACGTCGTTCCTGTATTGTTTTACCCACATAAGATGCTATTAATAGTTTTCCGGCACGGCGGAGCCGCTGAAACTTTGAAAGTGAACTTTAGATGCTATCATTCTATTACGATCAGATTTTGGAAAACCTGGTATTAAATTTTCGGAAATTCTTTCAGATACTGATTTTATGCTGGTTGTAGATAGCAATTAATGAAGAGATTTACCTTCGGGATTGAATTTTGCCGATTTCCGTTGATGAGAAAATCTGGAACTTACGAGCATCTTCTCTCTCGCCGGAGAAATGAATTCTGATTTAATCTTCCTCTCCGGTGGAGGAGGTTTTATCATCCGGTGCGGTGGATTCCACTCGGATCTCGATATTATGAATTTATCTTCGGATTCGTCTGTAACAAAATCTGCAACAAAATCCGTACCATTCACCGCCACTGTCTTAACATCAGTAAGAGGAGGCTCACTCTCATACACCGTCGGATTCTCCTCGGTTTCCGTATGTTCACTCTCGTATACCACCGGAGGATTTTCCACAACATCAAAGCTCGGCAGAATCACCATCGGTGGCGACTCGGACGGTAGATCTAACGGCAGAACAGTGTTCGTTTCATCAACTAAAGGCTGAGATTGATTCTCGATGTGGTAGTGATTGTGGAGGTGGTGAAAGCGTGAAGAGGCAGCGATTGTGATGATGATGCCATTGATGATGATGTATAGATATGGTGGCCTGAGCCAGGAAAGTATAACAGACCAAATAGCAGGTATGTGATAGACGGCCAAGTTTAACATCGCCGGGAAGCAGAAAGTCATCGCCATAGCCACCAACACAACGCCGGCGGAGATCAACAGAATCCTTTGAGAGAGTGATGATGATGAAGAACCCATTTTCGACTTTGCCTTTGAATTGAACAGCTTTGTGTGTATTTTGTGGTGAGATGGGAATTAAAGAAGCGAATGAGAGACGATACGGGGTATAAAAATGCAAGAATGTTACAATTTGGTCCCTTGAGTTTCGATGAAAGTGCAACTTTCTCTCCAGAGTTAGTTGTTTGTTGTGCGTATATATAAATAAATTTAAACATTATAAATTATAATATATATTTATTAAAAAATACTCGCATAAAACAGTGAGATAAATCTCGATTTTAATGTTTTTTTCTTTCGATAAAATACGATTCAGTTTGAAAAAGCGATAATGTTTTTATTTTTAAATAAAATATAAATTTGTAGATATTATAAAATTTTGAAAAAAAAAATATATTGATATCAATATTAAATTAACTATTTAAAAGTTTTTTTTTGTGTAATTTCATTAATTATTTTTTATTATAATTTAATTTAAATTTAATAATGAATTAATTTATTTTTGGTTTAATAATGTAATACTTTATAAAGCTAATAATTAGGTATTCTGTTAAAATTTAATGATTATATTTTAGATTTTTTATATTTAAAATGAGATGTATATCATGTATTTCATTATGTTTATTTGTAGTTAGTTACATGAATTCAGAAATGAAACTTTAACAAGTTGTACTTACGCATAATTTACTTGTAATCTTGAACTTTAAGTAACATACATCAATAAACAGTATTAAAAATGGTTTTAAGAGTTTTTATCAAAATGCTTTATAATATAATATAGATAATATGATATAATACTAAAACATTTTATAAAATATATATTATATGTTATAAGTATATATATATAGAGGACGAAGTATCGTGTTGAGAAAGAGAGTTAAGATGAGAAACATGATAAGAGATATGGACCCTTGAACACCTTTAATCTTAAACTCACTCATGAATCACATTCGATATAGGAATTGATCATGTATATCTCGTCATAATGAGCATCCAAAGATATAGATTATTTCTTACGCTTCTCACATTAACTCTTATTCTCATCGGAACCTAACACTATAGAGTTGGGTTCCAGTGAGAAAGAGAGTTAATGTGAGAAGCGTAAGAAGGGACACCCTTGGATGGACATTATGATGAGATACACCTAGATTCATCAGATCAGTCCCTGTATCAAGCACAATTCATGGGTAGGTTTGAGAAAATGTGATCAAAAGTCCAGATGCCTTCTTACGCTTCTAACATTAATCTCTTTCCAGACGATCCTTCGCATATATTTGTGTGTTCTGAGTTTATAAACCAGTCGACTGAGATGATTATGGAAGTGATAAGGGTTTATTTTATTATAAGTTATATATTTATGGAAAATGATCAAAATTCAACTATTGATGATCAACATTTTATATTAAGAAATAATTGAGATATTTATGAAAACAAATATTTATCAGGCTAAGTGGACGGTTGAGATTAATTTGTATGGATTAAGAGAATTGAAAATGATTGCGACATTCTATGTTATATATATATATATATATATATATATATATATATAGGGTATATTTCTTTTACAACCTTGTGCATTTGTACAACCTTTGCAACCCAATTAATTGAGATATTTATAGAAATGATTGGAGTTCATTTATTATGATTTGAATATTTATGGAATATGAATAGAGTTTATTAATTATGATTAATACTTTATATTATGAAACAATTAATTGATTAAAAATTGAATGGTTGAGATGAGGGTTGTATAGGGTGTAGGAATGACAAAGGGTGTAGAATAACATCCCTATATATATAATCTCTCATTTATAACTATTATGTAATAAAAGAAATATTAAACAATATTTGAGGGATATTGTAGTCATTTCAACCTTTTCGAAGTGATTTCCAACTTAACAAACACTATATCGACAATATATTTAGGGGCCGTTTACTAAACATTTACTTTGATAAGTGAACACCACGTCTCATTATCTTACCGGATGAATATGGTAAGGACCAAAAATCTTACCCGGTAAGAGCGAGACAAATACCAAAAGTCTTACCTGGTAAGTGAGGGGGATGACTCTTACCACGGTATGCGCTTACTAGGTGAATTGTTGCATACGATATCGTTTTGATGGACTAAAATTTTACCCGGTAAATAACTGATAGTGTTAAATTTTATCGGTTTACGCTTGCCAAGTAAGTGTTTGGAAACAACCCCTTAGTCATGCTCCAGTTGTACCAAAAACCAGACACTCAACTAGTCCAGTACAATCCCAAATCCAAACGGTCTCATTGAGTTTGCGATCGAACACATACTCATATACTCGTAGATTTTAATGGTTCGCGGAGATAACTGTTGGGTAACCAAAATCAAATATTTGCAAGACTCAAATAGTTCTTATGCCATATCATCAAGCGTAGGATGTGTAGAAAATCATTCGATCCAAAATAAACAGACCGATCCAATCAAAGTCGACTGATTATAATCACATATCCAGTTATAATTGGATCAGATCAGATCAAAGATTTCAACATTCAAATTGAATCGATGGTTTTTTGGATGGCAAGCCGTAATTCAATAAAACCGAAACGATCCAATTCAATTACTCATCTTGCTATCATCGAACTACGATCCAATTAATTCCAACTATAATTAATAAATTTTATAATATTATTTTTAGTCAATATTTATATGCAGTGTTTGTAAAAAATTCAGGAAATATATGAATAATTTGTTGAATACTGTATCAAAAATATCGGATGGATCTAACTCGATCTAATAGATAACCAATAACATCAACTAATGGATAAAACGACCCGATCCAATCATTCACATGATTGGATCGGTTGTCCATAATTAAATGGATTGGATCAAATAACAAAATCAAACATTCAATGGATGATCGGATCAGATCCACCTAAATCTATTGGATGCCAACCGATAAACACCCCTAATCAACGAGTACAGTAAAAATGTATCCCACCAGTATTATTTCGGACACAGTTTATTCTTAGAAAATAATAATATTTTTATTTTATTTTTTTCTAAAAACAATATTTTTTATAACAACAAAAATCAAAACATGATGGTTGAAAGTTGCATTTGCCAATAACCACAAGGTGGTGCCTGATTGATTTGAGTTTGGTTCCAAATGTCAAAAGTATCAGGATGTTTCAGGTTCAAATTCAATGAGGAATGAAAATCTCATTGTGACAACGGAGGTTCAAATACGGTAACTTCGGGCTATCTGCAAAACAGATGGTCGTCATGAATTGGATATCCAGGTTAATAAAAAAAAGTTGCATTTGCCAATTCTATTAGACTTGCAATTTTTAAAAACAAAGAATTATTGATAGTAGGAGGGGTGTTTATAAACAAAACTTGAGGGACTGAAAGTGTAAATTTCAGGAAAAATAATAATTGAAGATGAAATAATAGCCGTTGGATTGAAGCGAGTGATGGCTTTGAGGACGGTTATGCGCGTGCTTGTTTGGCTTACTCGGCTTGGCCATAAGGCTTCAGTGGGCCCCATGGAGATGGAGTGGCATCGATGGTGTGAATCTGGACGAGTTTAATATTTTTATTATTATATAATAATTAAAATCAATACAAATTAATTAAATATTTATAAATATCCATATTTATAAATATTAATACGCTTTTCTCGTGTAATATTTATTGATGATAATTTATGCATGTTATATATGTNAATATACTATAATGCAATAAAATACAATATATATATATATAAATATAATAATAATAATATATTACAATAACGTGAATATATGATATAATATATATATATATAAACACTAGAAGAATACTCGCGCAATGCAACGAAATAAATCTCGATTTTAATGTTTAATTTTTATTTTGTCTTTACCGATATAATACGATTTTATATGATTTTGATAAAACGGTAATATTTTTATTTTTGAATAAAATATAAATTTGAAGATAAATAAAAATTAAAAAAAAAAACGATATTAGTATCAAATTAATTATTTAATAGTTCTCGTTTTTTGATGTAACTTTTTTAATTCATTTGTTTTATTATAATTTAATTTTGATTTAATAACAAAGTAGTTATGATTATCTTAATTATATTTTGAATTTTTTATATTTAAAATTGATGTTTATCTTGTATTTGATTATGTTTATCTGCAGTTATTTACACGAATTAAAAATGAAGCTTTAATAAGTTGTACTGATGCAAAATTACTTGTAATTCTGAATTTTAAGTAATATGTATCAACAATGAGTACTTCATGTATAAAAATGGGTTTTAAGAATTTTTATCAAATATTTTATAATATAATATAAATAATATCAATATCATATTATATAAAATTTCAGTAAAATTTTAAAATCCTTAAATTTAATCACTTGTATATTATATTTATGTAAATAGACCTATTTGGTTTTCAGTTGTTTCTGGATTCTTCTTGTCGATGTTTATATTAATTAATCTATTAAAATTTATTTTTTTATTTATAATAATTGTTATTTATAATTCCTTTTAGGAAAAATAATTGTGTATTTAGAGAAATCAATTTATCTGATAATTTTACATCATGTATTTAGAGAAATCAACTTTGTCAATTTTTCTACAAAACGTTTGAATTTAAATTAAAACGTAAAATTACGATTTTAAAATTAGAAATGAAATTGGAATGAAATACAATTTTAAAGCTTATTAATTAGCAGTTTGATGAGTTTAACGAGACTCACAACTTATTCGGTCAATTATGCATGACTACTTGGTAGTGGTTTAATGATGTAGACAATGCTTATTCAGTAAGCTTATAAGGGGTCTTTATGTAGAACGTCAAGTTTCTTCAAAACCTGCCCTTTTCTGTTAAAAAAAATGCTCATTTCAGATATGAAAAAGAACCTTTCAAACAAAGCTCAGCAAAATTTATACAGACAGATTAATTAACACAGACAACTTAACCAATCAAACAATAGGTTAAACCTAGGAGGCTGTTTGGTGGATGCTGAGGAATGAAAATGACAAAAAATGAA